ATGAGCATGAATTGCAATCATAGCGCACATTTCTAGTTCGCAATTTGCAAAGCATAAAATAGTAACAGAGGCATAAAATTTATCTTCTTCTGTTGCTGCCATTTTAACTCCATAAAAGAAGCAATTAAAGATGCCATTACGCCAATATCGAAGACCTTACAGACAACTAAAGACTTTGAACGTGGTCGCATTGTAGGGTTGTGTGAAGCTGAGTTGTCATACAGAGCAATAGGACATCACCTGCAGCACACAGACACTGCTGTGCAAAGATGTTGGCAGCAATGGTTGCTACAAGGAAATTGCCGACAAAATGAAGGATCTGGAAGGCCAAGGATCACAAAAGTGAGGCAAGGTAGGATGATTGTTCACCAGATCTGAACCGTCCCAACTGTATCAATGACAACTATTCAACACACTACAGCCACGTCTATACCTCCCGTGGTACCGTCCACCATCTGATGGCGCTTGTTTGAGATGGGGTTAGGCTCACAGAGGCCTCTAAGATGTTTGCCTTTGACCCCACAACATCGGCGGTGTCGTCTGAAGTGATGTCGCAGCCGATCATCATGGCTGCCATCAGACTGGCATCGTATAGTGTTCAGCGATAAGTTCCGCTTCACTCTTGAAGCAGATGACCACCGTGTTCGTGTCTGGAGAGGATGGTGCGAGGGGTCCCAAAAAGCCTTTGTTTTACAAAGGTATACAGCCATAACCCCTGGTGTGATGGTGTGGGGCACTATTTTTTATGACAGCAGGTAATCTTTAGTCATCCTCCATGTATTTTTAACAGCTCAACGATATGTTGATACCATCCTGCGGCCGGTTGCATTACCCTTCATGGCATGCCATCCTGGGTCCATTTTCCAGCAAGATAATGCCAGGTCGTATACCGCTCACATATCTCTGGACTGTCACCGTGCGGTTGATATTCTAACCTTGGCCAGCAAAGTCACAAGACCTTTCACCAATTGAGCATATCTGGGACATGGTAGGCCACCAGATTCGGGCAACACAAAATATCACAGATCTGGAGCGACAACTGATGAATGCCTAACAAAATGTGTCATAGGATGACATTAGGAACCTCTACCACTCCTTGCTTCGACGAATTCAAGCATGCATTGCCACCAGGGGCGGTTCGACCAAATATAGGGTGCGGCAGAGAAACTACCTTATTTTTAAAATGAATAACACAAATGGCATAAGCGATATCAGTTTAATTTTTTTCCAAGTTATAGAGAGACACTTAAAGTTTGTTTTTATTATGGTTTAAAAATAATATCATTAAGGTGGCCTCCGTTCTGGTCAATGCATCGAGATAATCGAGTTTTGAAGCTTCTTTCCACTTTTACCAGCATATCAACGGGTATGTTGTTGATAGTAGATAGCAGCTTGAATATTGTTTGTTCTTCAGTTGAGCTAGGGTCTCTGGATGTTAGAGATTTTAGACAGCCCCACAAGAAGAAATCACATGGGGCTGAATCAGGAGAGCGCGCTAGGCGACTGAGGATCGCACCGTAAGGAAATAAGGCATCCAGGGAAATGTTCTCCATAAAACCATGGTCCAATGATGCCTATTCTGGACAATGCACACCAAACAGTCACACATAATGTATGGAGGGGCTGCTCATGAAATTCTCGGGGAATTCGTGCCACTCCATTACCGCATGTTTTGCTTAATGCATGCTGCAAATGGAAAGACAAAAATGAGCCTCATAGCTAAAAAACACAAGGGCATCATGAGGCATATTGTTAAGAATGGCTTTACATGCATTTTTTTTGTGAAAGAAAATCACGTGGATTAAGTTTTTGCAATTTATATGGATGAAAATGCAGTATGCTGAAAAGTACGACTCCACAATGAACGCATGCTCCTCTCTCGTCCACTGCATAATTGGTACTAAACCTACATGACATACAACGTTAGATACCGCTCTTTATAACGAGCGCCACCCCACCCTTTTCGGAATAAGTGTCACTAGATGGCGCACATTTCAAATAAGGAAGTTCTCCTGCTGCACCCTGTACTAATTCGTACATTAAATGGGTGATTGTGAGCCGTGAACAGGTACTATGACCTTGATTTTTTTAATCATTTTATTATCTGTGTATGAGCTATACACATATTCAATTTCATCACAAACAACCACTTTCTTCATGGTACTTCGATATTTTTGCCAAAAAGTATATAATTTTTTTCAATTAAAAAATAAAAGCATTCGTGCGATTCAGGTAAATGGACATTTAATGCACTTAGTCCAAAGTAAAACAAGCTTTTTAGATTTTTAGCAAGCAAGGAATTCCTATCATTAATTCATTCACAGCATAAGCAAAAGTAAAATTTACAGACATTAAAACTCGCAAACTCGGTAAAACACTTCTAGAAAAAAGAAAATCTTTTAAATATGGTGCCAGTTAAAACTTTATATATGACACAGTGTGGCATAAGTCTCTATGATCTTATGTATTAACTCAATAGTTTGTCAGTTTTATATCTGAGGCAGTCAGCATTTCAAATAGCCAAAGAAATCGGAGAGCTCCCAAGACTGAAGCTAGCCACTATTGGGATCTTGTGAGATGGTTATTCCTGGTATGTTAATACTTTCTTAGACTAATGACTTGTGCTAATTCTTGAACACCAGATCATTTTATGTATTTTTAACTTAAAATCTCTAAGTTGTTAAGGACAATGTGGGCTATTCAACAATGTTGGTTTTGTCTTTGACTATGGCATCAGTAAAACTTTTATAGTACATCATTCTGTTGTAGAAACTTATGGTGGTTGATTTAAATGTGGTTATCTGCTTGGGAAATTTGACAGAACCTCAGTAATAATAGGCTGCACATTCCAGAGAGTACTTTGTACGTATGAGCTTCATATCTCTGCCCTTGTTTGTGGAATTCCTTGAGGGGTAAGAGCAGGCACACCTGATGCAGGACAGATCATGTCTGCTACCAGTTTGAGCAAAGTGACCAGATTAGTAGCAGTAGCACTGCAGAGGACCGCTGTGACCAGATTTGATCTTAATATGCAAATATTGTAGGTGTATTAAATCTTCCTTGATTTTTCAGATTTGTTGAGTTATACAAGAAATAGAGATTTTCTTGCATTCTACATTTCAACTTTCAATAACTTGCAAGACACTTATAATATTCAAACCATGATGAGTGAGCTTATGCAATTTCAGTATTCAATGGCAAGCTGTGCCTGATTTACTTTGAGTTTGTGATCTTCTGGAAGTAAAAAGGAGTGGTATTTTTTGTAATGAAATTCTAGATAGGCAGTAATTACTCTACGTGCTCTTTATAATTCATCTTGGCATCATAGTCTGACAATTTTGAGTCCCCCAGCATTTTAGAGAAATTTCTCCATTTAATTTTAAATATTGGAATTGCTCAATATCTTCATCAGGGTTTACCTTGGCCTTTGAGTCCAAATTTGGACCATTAGTAGTCTGATTTGCAACTGAAAACTTCTCCATTAGTTCAACTTCAGTAGAAGGTAAAGTCTATCATTTTGGGCAATGGGAGGAGCTACATATGTAGCATCTTCATTACAAATGGACAGACATTTGGAACTTTCAGCTTTTGTTTTCCAACAGTAAAGTCACCTTTATGAGCCTTCATTTTGAATTCATTATGTGAAATTTGCTCCAATGGAATATATCAATTCCTCAGTTCCAGTTTTTCATCACTTTTATTCATTCAGATTCATATCTTACAGCTCCATTACATGTCTTATAGAGTTTGCATTCAGGCTGAGGACTGAAGTTGCAAGTCCTATTTTCCTGCTCAATTTCACTCGCGAAACCCATCTGATTGGGAACTGTGATATAAATTTGCTGCTCGTTAAATTTATTCAACCCATCTCTGACAACACAGAACTCAAAGTTTTTGAATTTCATCTGCAGTGAGATTTCCGTACTCGCTCATTATACTTTCTACACTGGAAATTAGGACAGCCATAGTCTCTCTAAGGATATCGATAATGAGAATAAAAAGAAGAAACGCCTAAAATCTCGAAAACAAAATCCAGGTTATCCAAAAGGTGAATGGAACATAAATGCCCCAAAGATCTCACTTAAAGGTGTCCTTTCCACAGAAACACACATGCAAATTCAGTAAGGACATGACTCAATTCTGAAGCTTGAGATTGGGGATAATTAGCAGGCTACAAAAATTCAGCAAAAAATAAATTGTAGTGAGATTGCAAACTATAGCAATTAACAGCAATAGTAACAATATATTTCGAGGCAACATGATCAAGAAATTAGTGCTGAAAGAATGGTGCAAAAAATTTTCCCATTCCTGTGTAGTAAAATTGAATGCCATTGGATTGTTATTACTTTGACCTTGATGTTAACCACTTTTCATTGGACTTCATTTAATAGAATTAACATAAAGCAATTTTTTAGAGTTGCTCCTCTAATTCCTCCTACCATTATAGATAAATATATCAAAATGGGAAAGATCTAGTGCCATTAAAATATTAAACTAAATCTAGATCAAAATATAAAGGACACAATATACAAGTATAAAGTACACAGTATATAAATATTTAGCTATGTTAGTAAATATTGAAAAAAAATTCTGATTAATGGATAAAATCCATTACCATCAAATTCTGTACCTAAAAGTTCTCGATTTCCTTACATCAAGAAGTAACAGGAAATAAATTTTGACATAAAATATTTAAATTAAAACACCTACTCTTATTTCCAATTTTGATATAAAAAACAGCAAACTAAAAAAGCTTATAGAAAATTTGAAAAATTAATATTTTTTTTTTAAATTACAAATGACAAAATTTTAATTTTGGGGTGAAATGTTTTGAAATAATGACAGAAAATTTAGCCAGATGAAAAAAAAAAAGGATCAAAATAGCAAAATAATTGCTGTTCAAAAGTATAAAAGTTATTTAAAAGTAAAGACGCAGAAAAATTTAGTTGTCTAAATGACACAATAAAAATTTTCAAAAAATAAATGGTTCACATTATTACCTTTGGCGTAGGTTTTAATTGAATGTTTCCTTTTTTAATGGCATCAATCATTTCAAACATTGCTTTCTGATGTGGATTCTCAAAAATTGCTGTATAAAAAGTAAAAGATCAATTTACTTTTGTTAAACCTATTAAGCAAATTGCAACAATAAGAATTCTGCTAAGCAATAATCATTACCATCTTTCTTTGGAGATGTTCGTGATGTTTTCTTGCTTGAACTGATAAAAGTAATGAAAGACCTGCAATAAAGAAAAATATTTGCAAAAGAAATTTTACATTTTTCATATAGTACATATGAAAATTAAAAAAAACAAAACTTTCTAGTTTCTGTGACCTCTTTTGTTAATTTCTGAATGCTTTAACACATAGAATCAAAACATGAAACCTCACTCAATGGATTTCTCAGCAGATTGAATCAAAAGTCTCCCAATGCAACTGATTTTAGAAGTGATTCCCCACTAACTGATACTTAATTTTCCCTCCTCCCCCCTCTTTTCAAATATTTATGCATTTTCATTATGTTTTTTGCTTGTTTTCGATTTTATTTGTTTCATTGCTGCATACTAGTTGTTTTTTCATATAACTTGCCTCGAGAACTGCATCTTATCATGGAAAATATACAGACTACTGATGCATTAATTCAGATAAAGATAATATGCAGCTTCATTTGAGCAGCTATACAGTTAAAAATTTTCATTCGATACTGACCAAGTAAGACACTTTCTGTCAGACAACAGCAGCAGCAGCAACAACAAGAGCAGTACTCTTTCAAGCCAAAAATCATCTGTGTTATTAAGGCTGGAGTTCAGAAATTTCTAGAGAAAAATTATCATCACCCACATTTGCATGAAAAATTTCTTTTACTTGCCAACCCTGTATGAGGTATACATGAAAATCATAATCCATACACATCCTCGCTCTAAAAAGCAGGAACACATGCTATGCAAGAAGTAAATAGTTAACATGCACTAGTAATGGAACACTCTAAAGAAATTTGAGATGTCAGTCTTTCAATGAAAAATGAGCTCAAAATAAATTAGTGAATTAACATTACGTAACAGGGGTGGCTATAGTGCAATTCTTGCAGATAAATGGTGCAGCTTTTATGCAGATAAAATATATATGAAATAATAGTTAACCAAAACTATTCAGTGTATTTAAAAAGTTAAGAAATGTTTCTTCCCATTTAAAACATTAAACAACTTTAAAATGATGTAAATATGGATTTGTGAGTTTTGAAAAAAAACGAGTTGCAGGTCTCGAACCTTCCCAATTTTCAACATATTAGCTGTTATTAGCATGAAGTTTGGCCACCTCTGTTATATAATGACATAATCTGAATGCTACAGGAACTTGTGTTTACATGAGGGGAGGAGGGATAACGTACCCAATATGTAACAGCTCTGTGGATTCCTTTTTCTTTCTAGATTAAAATGCAACTTAGGTCTCCACAGAATATTTCAAGGCAACATGGTGTCAACAGGCATTCTTGCCAAAAATCAATGTACAAAATAAGAATTTTGTGGCTAATTTAGCGGTTTTAAGTGTTATATTATTTGGATGTTAGTGTTTCCATTATCAAATGAACAGTAACATTTTTCAACCATGCAACCAGAGAATGGACAACTCACACCCATTGCATGAACTCTTGTTGCAGATTATTGAAAACAGAAAGCGGTGTCAATCCTAGCAACAGCCATTTCATTTGCAGTCAGCCAGCATGTCCTTTCTGTTACTACATTCTAATCGTCAGTCTCAAAATTTAAGCTTTTTTCCTTGCTGCACAATTCTGCAATCCTTTTAAACAGTGACATTTTTGCAGTATAATTAAGCTACTATACTGGCATTCTTATAAAATAAATTTGCCTTCACAAAACACATTCTTTTCTGTTAAAGGCATGATGATTCAAGCAGAAGAGTTTTCTACTGCTAAGCTACTCAAATTTTCTTCACAAAAATGTTTCCAAATCTGCTTATGGTTTCATTTGACACATGCTACCTGGTGGTGAAAATCTGAATATTTTGCTTCTAAATTTCCTTGCCCACGGTCTGGGCCTATGTACCAAGTTTCATGGAAATGTATTCATTACAACACTCTCCAAAGGGCTTTGGGTAGGACCATTTAAATTCCAGCCACCTGGTATGTAGCATCTGCACTTCTTTTGCATTCTTTGCAAAAAACTATGTACGATTTTAGATGTAATTGAATTTTGTTCTGTTCCAGTTAACGTAAATCTTCTGAATAAGTGTATCGAATGAAGAAGAAAACTTGGAAGTTTTATTCCAACTCAGTGTAATATTAATTATTACAAATGTAACAGAAACAAGAAACAAGAAAGCTGTTGAAGATAGCTAGAGATGAACAAAGTTTATTAACTCAACTTCTCCTCACAGCACATTGTAGTACAAAAGGCAGCAATTCAGCTGCAAATTCGCTCACTGAGCAAAGGCTAAGAACAAATTATTTTGATTCAAACCGAAACTTATCACTGAATATACTAACGTAATCTAAATTAATTGCATGAATCCAGTGGTTTTTCTTTAGTAAAGTACACTAGAATATTTTGAAAATATCATTCCACTTGGTTCCAAGCTCAAGAGAAGCCACTTCTGCAGACTTCCAATATGTCATTAGATTTGGTGAGAAATCAACAAATGTTGTCGGGTTAATGTTAAAAGCCGGTAAACTTTAACAAGCATTGTCTCTGATTCAGTTCAAGTTTTTTACAAATCCAACAGGTATTTACATTGAATTGTATTTACCAAGTAAGCATACATAGCATAATTACATGAACCAATTAAACCCACACAATACATAAAATTATTGCACACAAGCTAAAAGTATATTAAATGCACAAAATTATAAGGAAATAAAACAAAAATACAGAAAATAAAATATACACATGTAAACACAAATATGTACACAGATTTACAACACATTTATTGCTAAAGATGTACCTGATTTCAGATGTATTCCAATTCAGAATGTTTCAGAATTCAGAATACGAAACATTCATGATAAACCAAAGACACATCTTCATGAAAGACAAAATTCGGTCATTTCTTTAGTCAAAACAATCTAATACAGTCAGAACTTCTTACACGTGCAATTATACTTTCAAAGAAGAATGTGGAATTTGATTGCTAGAGCAACATAAAATTTGAGACTCTTTAAGCATGTTAGTTCTAGTAAGCTAGAAATGAATAAGAACTCTGTTGACTCCTGGCACAGCAGTGGTTTTAGGTTGATTGACTGCCTACGGTGCTGAAGGGAGAAAGTGCTACACTGAATTATTAGCATTCATTGAGAACACTAAAAATATTCTTTGGACAAGTTTGTTTTTAGTGACTCACTTTCCTTCTTATTCTTATTTTATCTATGACTACAAATTTCATTCCTTTTAGCCCTACTAACATCTTTGGTGACATTTCAAAAGAATGCACAAATAAATACAGTTTAATTCACTCTTCACTACATACAAAAAACTGCTGCTGTTCCCAACCTATTTGATAAGCACCGTTTTCAGTTGCAACAGAACTAAAATTTCCTGTCACTCTAATGATAGTGACAGTGACCTCAGAATGTTCTTTTTTGTTTTATCAAACTTAAAAATCTCATCCAAACATTTAATATTATTTTCTTATGTTTGAGTTAGGTAAAATAAAATTTCTGCATATTTTTGATTTTATTTGTATTATGTACTTAAATATTGAAGAAAAACGTTTTCAAGAATTTGTTAATTGTTTTCCTTTTAATCTTTCATATATCCTCGCTTCTAAAAACATAAAGAAAAGATTAAAGAGAAACCTTATGTATCCAAAAATCATAAGAGATGAGAAAGAAAAATTATTTGAACAGTTAAGAAAAAAAATCTTTGAGAACTGATAAATGCTTTAGAAAAAAATCTCAGAAATGCTAATGATAAGCCTGACTTTGACACTGCAATCTACAAGTATTCAAACACTGGCCAATATTTCTGTTTTGTTAGCAAGAAAGAACCATTCAACTAAGATGACAAGTCCTTTCATTATATGTGATGGCACATAACATACACAGTCACGAAGTGCCAAGCATAATATTTTCACTAGAACAATGAGCACATCTGAGCATTCTTTTGATAAGTGTTTAGTGATAATTCTAATGCAGTTCAAAGTTTCAGTGTATCAGATGTAGCTTCATGGCCAAAAGAACACAGTAATAAAATTACAGATCATATTATCAATGTGGAGCCCTCCAGTTTTTTTTAATTTGGTTAATAGTTTGTTTCTTTGATTGTTCCTTAGCTTTACCGGTTTGCCAGTATTGGCAGAAGGGTTTATATGTTTAGGTTTAAGTTATCAACTCACTATTCTAAAATTCCTTTAAATGGTGAAATAATGCAGTACTGCTTTTATTCAACTCAGTTTCATTAAAAAAGTTAAACTAGTTAGATTCAATTTAGTATATTCCGTCTGTAAGGAAAAGTGTCTACGATTCTTTAACAATGCTAAAAAACGTCATTTTAAATCTCAATTTGGCAAAATCAGTAGGAATTCAATGAACAAAATGTACTCAATACAATAGGATTTTCTCATTGTCAACGAGAGTATATAATAGGAAGGTAAAGTATCAGTCAAGTAGTCAAACACTGACATACTGCATGCTTTTAACACCAGAATGATAAACTTCTGCATTTGAACTAGGGCAGGCTACCAGACAATATGTAAATGTAATGATCTGAAGCAGGGCTTAATTCCTAAAATTAGAAGTGCCAGAGCTCTATGAAAAGTCTCCAAGAAAGGCAAACAAAATAACATAACTAGAAGATATGTAAATAATTTATATATTTATTGATAAAAATAGTTAAATAATAAATCAGAATACCAGAGCTCATCTTATTAAGGGCTTTGACTGAAATTAGTATTTTACTGAAGGACTGAAAAGCACTGGAGTAGGGCTCTAATCAAATTTAAGCCCTGACCTGAAGGCTATAAATGATAAGTCATTTTTATCCTTACACTCTAATCTCATGCATTTGACTCAATGCAACACTGACACTGCCTCTAAGACAGTGGTCTTTAAACTGTGTTCTGTAGAACCCTGGGATTCTAAAGTCAAAATAAATATTTGAAAAGAAAATTCTTCTGCCCTCACACTAGTTGACTAGTGTTTATTAACTAAAAAATATAAAGATACATTTAGTTAGTTATCTTTGAAATGCAAGCTGACCCTACACACTAAAATATAATGCAAGGGTAAGTAGCACTTGGAGCATAAGTTAATGCTATTAATGAGTAAATTGGGTTAATTTTATGTTAACATCTCTGATAAAAAATACAATGCTTTTCTTTAATTGCTTTCATAAAATATCTATAACATATTAATTTACTTTAAATATTATTTTAGGATATACGTTTCTAAAGAGGGATGGAGTTTCCCGAAAAAACCTTACAGTTCTAAGGGTTCCACTAGTCGACGAAGTTTGAAGACCACTGCTCTAAACCTTTTAGAACATACACTGCCTTCCAATTTTGAAAAATAAAACTTCACTATATATTTTATATATACATATTCAGATAGTGTGTTTATCATACTAATTTTGTTTTTTAGTGTTCGTTTAGGTTTTATGGGCTATTGGGTATGTGATACAACAATTTCTTTTACAGAAATTTAAAAAACTCAAAACTTAACTAAAACTTGTGAAAATTATTTTTCAGCTTACTTGCTTTTGACAAGTTTTGCACTCAACTTTACAAAATGGAGGGGTGATTTGTATTCTTAGCACTCTTAACTTTCTTTCGTCAAATAAGTCAAATTAAGACACAATAACATGCCGAACAAATACTAATTCACAAGTCAAACAACAAAAATCAGCGTTATTATTAAATATAATGCTGATTTTTGTTGTTTGACTTCTGAATGGTAAAACCATCGAAACTAGTCCTGTGAAAATTTTGAAAATATAACGCTGATTTTTGTTGTTTGACTTCTGAATAAATGGGTGAAACTTGGAATTCCTAACTTCTTGCTTCCTAAGCCCATGAAATGAATATATGAAGGGGTAAATATGCTTAGCATGCATATTTGCCCCTTCATTATATGCCTGTCCAGCTATATGTTGAATCCTTAATTCATAATTTATTAAGAGTTTACTAGAAAATTAATTACACGAACCTTCATCTATAGTGCCTGATACTGAATGAAATAATATAATGCAGCATCAGAAATGCTGATATTTACGATTTCTAATATAAATGCTTAGTATGGTTGGAATCTAGCATATAACTGAGAATTACTAAAAAATATTTTCCTTTTTTATGAGATCTTTAATTTTCATCTAAATGTCACTTGCCAAAACAGATATGATTTCATTTAAAAAATCATAGCCTAACTGATTAGCTACATCATTCTCCAGTTGAGCTTGTGTTATGCTATTACAAAACTGTGAATGTTAATAATCAAATTTCATCAACTCTTTAGATAATTTTAAAGAAGTTTTGTTTCATATAATTTATTAGTTTTATTTATGAAACCTAAGCACTGTCTTACTGAACAAACTGAACAATTAGACTTATCCTTTAAATAAAGATTTGCCTCAGTACTATTGTAAACACTAGTTTTCTTTGTCAACTATGCACTTTTATCAAGGCACAGTTTTCACATATTTTTTTTTAATAATTTTATGTATGTTTCATACTAAGATAGTGATTCCTCTCTAATGCGAAAGCATCTGAGTACCTGTTTGTTTGGTTTTGAAACATATTCTAACAAAAGTAAAATACATTACTGGATGTAGTATAATACAGTAAACAAGCACACCAAGGAATATTTTTGACATTTTTATTTCACTTAAACTTTCATGTAGATTTTCTCTATAATTTCATAACTGCTAGCACATTTAAATTCAACTAAATGATATTTCCCTTTATTATATGAAATGAACTATTGGCCACCTTACGGATTTCTTCATCTGCACATGCTTGCAATGCACACCTACTAGAACCAGTCCTGGGTCTATTGCAAACTGAGTTACAAAATTTCTGCAATATCCTAAGCATCTCATAGTATATTGTTTAGAGGCAATATTTAACTAACTTATACCAATCAATATTTTTCAAATCTCCTTTTCTTTCAAAATGGCAGATGTATGTTTGAACAGTATTCAAAGAATTGAATAACCTATAATTTGGATAAGGTATATTAAAAGCACATATCAAGCCTACTAATTTACATAACACATCCAAATGAAAGATACCCAAAATAAGATTTATCTATGAAAATATTGTGGATAATTCTGGTTGATGAAGGGAAGCAATTTTTTTCACCTTGCCCATAATAAATGATTCAGAGTTTTAACCTGGGCACCACACACACTGATTTCAATGCACTTCAAAGAGGCCCAGCAAGCATCCAGACTGTAATTAGATTTCACAACCCATACCACGAAAAATTTTCTGTGTAACATATTATTGTTTGTTATGGTAACGAGTAGTTTCCAGTGTCAATTTATCTTCCATTTGCATTCTAAAAGCATTAACAGACTTCAATTGAACTAGTTATGACATGGATGCAACTTTTTTGTGCAGAGACCACCCTTTTGAAAAAAATTTTGTAGATGCTGACAAAGCTACAATCATTTTTTACAGAGGCTCATTCAGCTAAAAAATTTCTTATCAGCCTCTATAAAAAATTTTTGTACACAAATAGCTTATGAATGCCAGTGATTAGCACTTACTTCCGTCTGGATTGATGGCAATTTAAAGCACACACACAGTCATAAAAAGGGAGTGCCAAAATTTTATAAATGATGTTATTTGAACCTGTATAAAAAGATTTAAACATTAAAATGCTAAAAAAATATAGAAGTATTCATTCAACCATATTAGTTCTAGACAATTATTCCATTTCTCACATCATATCTCCAAACTGCGATCAGTCCAACATTAAACCCACTGAACAATTAAGTTAAATTTGTGATGGCTGCTACCTGCTACCATCTTTCACTATAAATGATGAAAATCAAACTCTTTCAACCACACACAATGTTCTTAGGGCATAGTAGTAAAAAGAAATCCATTGCATCAAGGTAACACCCACTACCTATTTGCTCATACAGCCCAGCGCAATAAAACCTTCAATTACTGAGAAATTCAAAATTTCTTCTGTCACATATTTACTCCAAAAAGATATCAACTTATATTACTTATCTTTTAAAAACTGAATTATTGCATGCAATCAAAACTTTTGGATCAATACTCTTATAATAACGTCTTTCACTCCCTCTAAAATAAATATTATCCGCGATAGAAATTCTTAGCACAATATCAACATAGGACACAAAATACTGAAATCATTATACTGTACATTTCTTTCACATAAATAATTTTACATACTCTACCAAAATTAGTATAGCTATAATAATAAACTTAACTGGAAAACTCTCTAAGATGACTACCCATAATTGCAGCTGGATTTGCTCTTCAATGTAGGTGATCTCTTTAGAGACCAAAACTTTTTATAATGTTCAGTTATGAAATGTTTATTATACTGTCAGGAACTGGAAACTTTCAAAAGTAGTCACCATGACAGGTTTCATAAACTGGCAGCAGAAGAAAATGTCAATAAAAATATGTTTTAAATTATATTTAACAGTTTTAATGTTCTAATAAAGTGTTATAAAATAACAACATACTAATGCTTAAACAAGGCAACTAAATATTTCTCAAAATCATGCACTAAAAGATACCCAAATTTCAGTATAACTTAAGTAAAGAAAATGTGAAACTGAATTTACCTGATAGGTTTAAAAAGAGTAGGAGGAGGAGGTGGTGGTGGAGGAGGAGGTACAGACTTAGAACTTGAAATTTCATCATTAAGTCTTTGAACTTGGCCCTCCAGCTCTTCAACTAAGAGAAAATAATATATTCATTATAAGCCAAAACTGTAAAATTAAAATCTGTAAACTGATACAGAAAGGATAATCAGTGATTTATGTTACCTCATACCTCTTTTCAGAAGCCTCACATTTTCCCTTTCATATGAATGTAATTGCTGCTGAGCCATCTCTAACATTTTTGGCAAATGCTCACAACCATTTTTTTCGTCAAGAAGTCTCAGTTCTTGCAGATTTCTAGCCTAAAGGCAACAAAAGCTTAGCAAATACATTAAGAGCTTACTGTAAAAATGAAATAACAAAATGCTGATCAAGAGAAAGTATACAAGCAATTCGAAACAGGATTTGCAAAGTTTAAAGAAAATTAAATCCATGCTTTAAAATATCAAGGAATAGAGCACAAAATGATTGCAATTTTAGCAAACATCTCATAGTATTATAAATAGCATCTAAAGATAGAAAGAATAAATAATTTAATAATGGGTTAGGTTAGATTATTTAAATATAGTAAAACTCATGATGGCTACCTGCTTTAAGGGGAAAGATGCCTTTGTGGAAGACTTTCTAAGACTTTTTAGCTCATGTTCACATTGCACATGGAGAAAACCATGAAAATCAACCATGCAGCCACCTGATTTCCCTGGGATTGAACCCAGGTTGAATTCTAATATTCAGTGGTCTTAACTATTTACCCACAGGTGGACATAAGTTAATAACTTGTGTCCGACCAGCAGATATTTGTGATTTACATACAATTACACATACACAATTTTACACGTATACTTAAACATATTAAAAAAACTGAAATAAAAAGGTACTAGACTATAAAAAGATACTTTATTATATACTAGAATTTAGTACAGAACATTAGATCAAAAAATAAAGTAAATGCTTTCGAATGAATTCTGAAGGAACCATTGACCCTTTACATGCAATATAGATACCTAAATCCTTATCATTTATTTTAGAATTTAAAACTTGCCATTCATTATGTTATAAAACTTAATTTTTATCTTTACATTTATGTACATTTTAAAATAATTTTAAGACCTGTAATTTAGGATCAACAAAAGTAACAATAAGTGTTATGAGGTGAAAGTTTATATGCATACGGTTATTACACAGCTCAACAAAAATAAGGAAATATTTTACCTTACCACTTACAAAAATATATCGAACCTTATTTCAGGGAAGTTATTAATGCATATGATGAAAACAATCACATGTATAAAAGAAAGAAATTACTCATTCTTTAAAAACAGCAGAAATTAAAAATATCAGGATCTTGATAGCTTACGTATATTCTTATAAAATTTTAGACATGATGCTATATATTACAAATAACCTATTACAGTAAGGAAAAAAACCCACTTATGAAAGAATGTTGCAAATGAGGAAATTTGACACATACAAAAATGGGTGTCCTGAAGAACTGATTTGAATTTCAAACAATTACGTATGTTGGCAACTACTTCAGTAAAAGAAAAAAAGAAGTAGAAGAAAACAGTTATTGATTCAAGTGTTTTGGCAACAAAGAAAAACCAGCCAAAAACCATAGAACTAGCATTTTTTATTTAGAACTTTAACTTAAACTCAAACTCAATTTTTGGGAGTTTTAGAATCGGCTGTAACTGAATATTGTTTAAATCATTATCCTTGTAAACTAAAAATGTGAATAATATTATGTCAATATAAAACTAAGTCATATCTATGATTATTTCTGCATTATGAATAATTCACGAAAGAAGACATTAGTTTTTTTTCTAGCATACTTTTGGAATGTAATCCAGCATCAAGAAAATCATCAAAGGCGTAAGTCTTGAAATTTATTGAGCCCTTATATTAAAAGATTTAACACAAATTGGAGTATATACTATTTCATTTAAAAGACACAATTATTTGCAACCTTCTGATATAATTGCCACAATACATACCCATTCATTAACTGAATTTGCAGGGAGATCAGTAAGTAGCAAGATCATTATTTTAAGTTTTATAATGATTAACTTGGAGTGATGTTGATTTACTGGATGCTTAAATGCTGTGCTGGTGTACTATGGACTTTGTGATATTGATTAAAGTGAATTTTAAGCCTAAACACAAAAGTGATAATGGGTATTCACTTGATTACTATATTTCACGAGTGTCCCCCGAAACCATCGTGTGCACGAAAATGTCCCGAAGAAAACAATGCAAGGCAAAAACATTGAGGTACAAAACATCATTGGAGAAAAGAAAGCAAAGAGTATAGCAGTTCTAAAACATCATGGTTCAAAATATTGTCGTCGAAAATAACGCGGTTAAAAAAACCCACACAGTTTAAAAACATAGTCATCGAAAATAGCATGGTAAAAAATAAAAGTACATATAAATCATCGCATGACGATAACATCGCACACATGCGTTTTGAGGTTTATAAAAGATGTAAATGCATGTTTGCATAATGATTTGGGAGTGCAAGAAGGAAAGCGAGATTCTTTTGCTTCTATATTTCATATTTTTGAATGAACTAATAAATTGTTGCTGAAAAAATATTAATAGAATAGAAATAGAAAATTAATAAACACAGAATATTAATGCAACTTATAGAACTTAAAAGAATTTTAAATTTACATAATTAATTAGCAAATGTCATTTATAAAATAACCTTTTTTTACAAATTTCTATTGATAATTTTTTATGAAACATAGTCTAAAAATGCTTAGAAAAAGGATGATAAATAACTGCATGAGGTTACCTCTATAAAAATTACTTAGTTAATTATAACATTATTTTCTTTCACATTTGTTAACCTGATGTTGTTTCAGTAAAAATCATATATTGTTTTGTTTCAGTTTATTCTTAATGTGTTAACATTTTCATGTATTAGTGTGCAATCAATTTTTTTGGATGTCTATTTGATAGTTATGACGAAAGTAAGTTACATAATATGTCAGTATGGGATTTGAAAAACGCATGTGTGCAATGCGATGATTTGTAGGTACTTTATTTTTTACAACGATATTTTCGATGATGATGTTTTTAACCTGCAAAGTTTTGAACAGCTTTATTTTCGACGACGATATACCAGGATGTTTTAGAACTGCAATATTTTCTCTTGCTTTCTTTTCTCTGACGATATTTTGTACCAGGATGTTTTCACCTTCCGTCGTTTTCTCCGTGACGTTTTCGGCTGTTACCGTCTCGCAATTTCTCCACAAGAACTGATCTCAGAAATGTGTTGGTCTAGTTCATGTGTTTTGCCAAAAAAGTAAGCTGCATAAACTGCTTTTCTAAATATTGTTACAAATTTTGCACACATATGGATAATCTTAGTAAAATTATATGTGAAATCGTTATATTTTTTCCATATAACGTAAAAAGAAAACCTAGAAGGAGGATACTCTGTCAGAAAATTAAGAACACAGAGTCAAGTCTTTTTAGCTGGCAACAGTTTTGGTGCCTAATTTTGTGACCAAATTTGACAAGAAATGGACAAAACTCGGCAACCATTTGGTAGCATTTTGGTTCGATCCCTGCATCACTGCTATAAGTATTGAACAACTGTAATTGACTTCATATGTAACTGTACCCAGCCCTAATATGCCTTCCAATAACTTCGAGAAGCAGAAAATACTAGAAACTATCTTGGCGTCCGGGTGAAAACTATACAAGGCCGGAAAGAGCATCTGCCGTCAGTAGTTGCTGTGAGCTATTAGTTCAGAGTATTGAAAGCTTCGCCTTTTAGATATGCTTTGCTTGCGTTTTGTTTAACGTTCTTCGTAGTTTGAAGTGTAACTACTGACTGTACTCTGTAATATTAATAATACCTAAATTTTATCAACCTATCATCGGACGACCTATGTGCATTCAATCTATTGCAAACCTGTATGTATGCAACAATATGCTATACCATTTACAAAATGCTGTAGCAAAATTTCAATGGTGAACTGTAAGGCAATATAGATGTCTCATGATTTCCCCACAAGAAATTATCTCAAAATACGTTGTTCAAGGAGCCACATATTTTACAAATGCATGCCACCTGAAATTAGCTGCGCATGAACATGCAATATTCCAAAAAAAAAAAAAAATGCCAGCACTTCATAAACAAACTACACTGGTGTGCAAAACTTAAGCAACAGCAGGGTTTTTTGCCATAACTCCACGAGAAAGCAAACTGAGAGATATGAAATGCAGAAATGAAGGAGAGTATTATGCACGTAAAGGATGATGAAAGCATCGGAGCTGAAAAAGGAATACAATGCATACAGTATGGAATAAAACAAAAACAAGCTTTATTGAATGCATAGTATCATGACTCACGATTGTCTATAAAAGCGGGAACAACAAGCTCAATATGGGATGTACCCTCCTCTCACTGCAATGGTTGCTTCACACCGTCTCCGCATACTCAGAACCAGGTGGTGCAACATTTCTTGCAGTAGGAGTGCCCATTCCTCGATCAGCACCTGTTTGAGTTGCTGGGTGTTCTCCAGGGGATGTAAGTGTGCTGCAATGCGTCTTACCAAAGCATCCCACACATGTTCGATGGGATTTAAATCTGGGGAGTACGCTAGCCAATCCATTCGGGTGATATCTTCACTTTCCAGTAGCTCCTCAACAGCAAGAGTCTGATGTGGCCATGCATTGCCATCCATAAAAATTAAGTCTGGGCAAATGGCACCTTGGAACAGACGCACATGGGGAAGGAGTACCTCCTCACAATAGCGATCCCCGTTTACAGACCCTCTGTCGAAAACCTGGAACTCAGTTCGCCCGTTCAGCATAATGCCTTCCCAGATAAGAACTCCAGGACCACCCTTACGGCATCTTTCCTTGATGTTACTGGGATAAAACCGGGTCCCGACCTCTCTTCAAATCAAAACGCATTGAGAATCGCTTCTGGTACTGAACCGACTATCATGCGTAAAGAGGACACGACTTCATTGATCAGTTGTCCAGTTCTTTTGCTCTCTGCACCACTGTAAACGTTGGTGGCCAACTTTCAACGGGAGGCAGTGTTCAGGAAGGCGGGCGAATAGGCCCCCTTTGTGAAGGCATCTGGCCATAGTAAACTGTGACACTTGTCACCCCGTTGCTGTACAGAGTTGCTGAGCAATGGTGCTTGCTGACTGCTGTCGGCCTCTTTTCGCCTGTAGGACGATATATCGGTCATCCCCTCCAGTTGTCGTGCTCGGGCGGCCACCACCAACCTTTCTAATAGCTGTGCTTGTGGTTTGGAATGCTTTCCAAGTGCATGAAACGACACTTTTGTTGATTCCGAACTCTGCAGCTACACTTGTGACAGTATGCCCCTCCTCCAGCTTTCCGATCATTCTTCCATGTGTGAAGGCATCCAGGTGATTTCTTCTAGCCATATTTCACAAACTGACTCACTGGTACTTGCAGCGAATATGTTGAATTGTGTCTCCATCCTTCCTTTTATTCTACTGTTAAGCTGCACGCTTCAACATCACGTGTTTTGTGTACGCTCTAGTCGCCTCTGACATTTCGTTCCTGATATTTGCATACGCATGACGTTTCTATTGACTTACATGTTCATTGTACTGATCTCCAGACCTCCTTTTCTGCAATTTCATGGCTATCTGCTAAATTTTTACATTGTTGCTTAAGTTTTGCACACAAGTTTATATCATAGTCATTACATGCAATTTAACATGATCAGTTACTGATACTGATGGAATCCCACACCATGAGTCTACATTAATGAACTGCATGGCAAAAGGATCAGCATGATTACCATATTGTTTCAAACTCTCACTCATCAGTCATCAAAGCTAAAAGCAGAATACAGATCAGACATTGAACAAATCAGTTTTAACACAGCACTATTTCAAGTGTTCTCAGTGACAATATAGTGTCAGTGAGTCTACAAAAGAGAATGAGGCTTATTTCAAACATGGCTTAGAGATATTTGTACTGATATTACAGCATCTAAATCTGCAGATTTATGTCACACAATTTCATTAATTATGTATCTTGGGGTTGTTGATGTCACTGTGCATGAAATTACACACAATATTTTATGTATTAAGTTATTTATGCTAATGTGGCAGATACACTCTACAACTTGACTTACAATAGGCTATAATCTGGAGAAAGAAAAAAATATATAATGTAGGCAGTCCAGCATTCTGGAAAAATGCACCACTTACAGAAGGAGCAGTATCATAGCTCACTGTCTGTCTAACTAGTTTCGCTTCTGTGTCCAGTTGGAGGTTGTTAGAATACAGTCCTCACACATTTCAAGTGGAGGCAAGTCAGGCGAAAATTTTATTGTAAATTTTGTTTTGCACAAATGCTGGCTGTGGGAAAGGCAAAACTATACTATTAAGCAGGAAAGATGCACATATATTAATTTTACTTAAAGCAAAAATTAAGATTAATATCACAAATTCACCATTAAATGCTCCAAGATTGTATACAATGCATTTTTTTTTTCAAGATAACCCTAGGGAAAATATGTTACGGCTCATTTCTGTGGCAATAGACATCTGTAGACATTCTGTTGGAAGATGTTTTCATTGTAGACAGGAGGAAGGCAAGAATGTCTTTTAATAGCACCATTAATTATTATATACTTTGTTAATAGATTTCTAAATGTTTTGAAATATTATACGACCTTGATCAGAAAGATCATAGGGTATTGCAATAGGCAATTTTGAACGGTTAATGAAAAGTAGCTCTGAGCAAGTAATACTTCACAAATCCAGTTATCACACCTTTTTAGTCATCAGCTTCAATAACAGACTTCAAAACTATCAAATCTTAGTGGTTGCAATTATGAAGAAAAGTTCTGACAGCTTAATTCCTTTTCAAAGATAGGCCCACCAGCGGCTGAGTGGTAAAGTCACTAAACACTGGTAGTTCAGTCCGAGGTTCAAATTCCATGAACAGGCTGGCTGCATGGGCATTTTCGTGGTTTTCCCCATGTGTAACGTGTATACGAGCCAGTTTCGCTTAGAAAGTCCTTCACAGAGGCACCCCTTCCTTTAAGCAGATAGCTCTCAAGTGCTTTGCCATAATCAAACACACCACCTTTCCAAAGATTTATATTACCTGGAATGGTGACCGAGATACACGATTTCTGCTTTGAACTGAAGCATCTAACAAAACTTTATTTGATAGCAAAATAAAGAGCTGTTTTAAGTAAGCTAATGGTGGATTTATCTTAAACTCAGGCAAATCAGTTATTCTTTTTAAGTGATTTTATCTTATTTTTCAACAATAAATTCTCCCACATCAGTGAATCACAACAGAGGGTAAAAATGATCATTTCATAGAAAACCGAGACATTTCCGCTGCACAACTGTCAGTTTATGGTATAATATCTTGCCAGTTTCTCATATGCATTTTCGTAATAGGTATACACTATGGCAACCGGACATAAAATAATAATGAGATTTTTCTATCTTTTATCTCCCCATACATCCACCAAAACTGTGAATTTCTTTACATACTAGTGATTTTTTTCAAAAGGCTAATATACAACTAAAATCACCACTTTTTCTTTATCTCAGCTAAATTTCACATTTGAGTTTTGTTTTGATTAAAATTTATGGTTCAAAAACTTGCACTTTTGAAAAGTTACATAAACATTCTTATTGGTACACAAAATTTAATTTTCACTTAATACAAAAACTTTAAGCAATGAGAAATGTTTGGATACTGCATATTGTGCTTTTATATTACCTGTTGTGATATCCTTTTGATAGTAGTATCAAGATTATCTTGGCATGATGCACCTCTTAGAACAGTATCCGGTTGCTCAGCTATATGTATTTCACCTCCCAATGTGTCAAAATTTACTTCACTGATAAGACTACAAAATTCTTCAGAAAATTTTCTCTCTTTAACCTATTTGAAAAGCAATGGTATTACTTCCTAAAAAGAAGACAGTTAATGAGTCAGCTACTAATGCTGAGCTCACAAATATTAAAACAAAATTCAAGAAAAGACTAACTGAATCAGCAGGTTTAAAAAGAAACAAAAAACGAGGATTTTTTGTATCTCAGTGCACTTAAATTCAATGTCTTTCAGAAGCCAAGGTTAAAAAATCTATCAACTAAAATAGATAAATTCTAATCTTTAAACTAACATTTACAAGAAAGTATCAGAAGACATTTTGTATTATCAAAAAACTTGACGAAATAAAGAAATGTATTCAAAAACTACACAACAGTAATGCAAAGAAAAACACAAGATTTAACTCTCCACCCCCCCAAAAAAAACGAATCATATGTCTATTCTTCACAATCAACATCATGAAAAGTGGTTACCTGGCAGAAAGCATTACTTCTTAATTATCAGAACCCTCATAAATATTGGCAGCTGTGAATTTGAAAAAATATATGTTTGACTATAATGCCTAATAGGAACTACACCATACATGGATACTTTTACAAATAAAAAAAATGGGAGAAAACAAAGAACTATATAGCTGATATATATATTTTTACAGCTGGTGGATAGTGTTTAGTGAAAACTGACAGGTGCTACTGCCAAAATAAGCCACTACTGTATTACTTGCACACAGACTTGTGAAATTGAAGGAGGAAACAAAACCTGTATTTTTTACTATACGACACTGATGTATAATGTCTAATACATAATAATAAAATTACTTTATTCATTTTATGTGATTGAAATGAATATGAAAAGAAATTTTGAAGCTTATTTTATGCAAATATATTTAAAAAGTTATCCGATCAGGAATTAATCAAAAAGTTCATCTAATAATTTCAGATAAAAGTAGGTTGTATATTTAATTATTTTTTAAAATTTTATTCATGTACATAAAAAAAGGCTACGGTAAATTTACTTAATGATGCAGCATTTTATGCAATGACAAAATATCTTACATTCTGAAATTTTGCAACATCAGAATTCAAAAAGAGTTTCATATTAATTTTAATAAGATCTGTCTCATGAAGGTTGATAAGAACATACATGAATAAATTATAGTAATCCACAATTTATGAAACTTTAGAGTTCTTATTATTTAGTATAAGCCAATATTTAGTTATTAGAATTTCTTTTACAAGTTTTAGTTTATGCTTATCTTAATCTACAATAACTCAGATGAAAATTCCAGATCAACATACACACGCATATTTTAACTACTATAATCTTTTTACATATGCATTTATTCAATACTTACAGTTGAAAATTTGTTTCATGATTATTTCAACCAAAACACTTATCAGAATGCTAGGAACATATACAGTGTACTAGATCTCAACTTAAAAAATTCTCATATTATTCAAGTAACTAATTATTCATATCAATATCTATTTCAATGGTGCTTTCAAATTAATCTTATCTGATTTCTTATGACTTACAATTTAAGAGTTCATGCAGTTTCTCATTTTTGGGATTAAAAAAGTAATAACCATGTTATGATACTGCAGGCTGTAAAAAAATGAGTACTAAAAGAATATAGAGGAAGAGAAAGAAACTTATTTAAGAAGTACACAAAATAACATCATTACTGTTTTCATGTCACATTACATAATTTATTACAGTTTACTGTATGTTTTCTCACAAATTTATGCAAAAAAAAAAAAATTCTAGATATTCAGTTACTATGGGAAAAAAGTATTTCTTGGAGTTTATAAGCATAAATTGATAAATCTTGAATCTTGTCACCACTAGTGAGACTTCAGAGTTGAAACAATGACATGCAATTGTCAAACAAAATGCAATTAAAAAATCCAACCACACATAGCATAAACCATTAAGAATAAAACAGGTTCACATAAAAAGTTATTAAATTTAAAATCTGAATTTTAAGAAATTATATTTTTGTGAATATCCACCAAAATGTACAAGTAAATAAAATTTATTCCCTACATATACACATAAGGTAGTTTTTTACAAAAATTAACAACAAAAAATATTGCTTTATAAATACCATAGTATCTCGCATAATTTTCCATCTCGCTTCACAGTCAAGTTTTAAAAATTTTTGAAATATTCATGTAATTTTTCTCTTTCACAATGCATTGAAACAGTTCCACTAAATTTAAAAATAGATTCTTCCACATAAAAATTATTTTTGTCTTAGTAAAAAAGACAACCTCCTCACAAACTACCCGTGAATGTCACACAGAAATTTTCCCTTCTAACCCTTGAACTTCATGTGAGAAGAACTAACCCATCACAGTGGTGCAAATATGAACTAACATTCAGTCTATGATTTTGCTGAGTACACTACACATTCACCTTTTCTAATTAGTTATGGAGGATTTGAGGCCTAAGGAGTAGCAGAGACAACAGTAAGAATGGGTGACATTCATATTACATGGAAGTAGAAATTAAAATAAAAGCTATTAAAATGTTAACATTACTATGTATTATTATTGGACTGTAGGTTTCTTTTAAAAAATACTTTTGTAATAATTATCTGTAGTTTATAAAAGACTACTTTTCATTTGTTATGTTCTTATTGTAACTGCTTCCTACCAAAATCAAATTATTTGCATAATTTTCTGTTCCCATTTTTTCAGATGATAAAATTAGTAAGAAAAGGGAAAATAAATGAGGAAATACAGTAATCAATTAGCTAACAAATAATCACAGCAGAAATGAAGATAGCCAAAAAACTAATCATAGCAGAAATGAAGATAGCAAAAACAGATCTCAAATATGAATAAAGATAAGCTATGAAGATAACTGAAATAACATTTGGCATTTCCCATCAGGGTCAGATATAGACTTGATGAGGCCTAAGCTGTTTGAGATAGGGGGTCCCCATACCTTGTGTAGCTTATATGCAAATCCAGCATTGTTTTCCATAATGATAAAGCAGATTTGACAATTAGTTTCAAAAATACTAAATCAAAGAATTTAGGTTTATAATGCTAAAATCGAATGCATGTAATGTTTGGCCTTTTGAAATGCCTGGCATATTAACACAACATCATATAAATTTTTTATTGTTCTATATTCTGGTATTAAATTATAAATAAGATATCTTACAATTGCAATAGACGAGGCTTCTTCAACATTCTTATTTTTGTCCTGAGATTTGTTCATCATAATAGCATTTCCTAAAATTATAAATGAAATAAGTTTTGAATAGAACTTGACAAGTCTATACAGATTTGATATATTTCAGAGATTATACTTAAAAGTAAGTTCAATATGATTAAAATATTTACAATAAAATTTAAGAGAAATCTGCATAGGAATTTTTAAACCCACCAAAGAAGCCTATTGTAATGTTAATTACAATAGGCTTCTTTGTAATTATTATGTATTAATGCTTGGAAGACTAAAATGAAAAAAAAAAAAAAATACATAAAAAAAAAAAAATCTATTTTACTTGCACAAAATATTTTATTGAAAATATTAACTACTCAGCAGCATGATTTAGAAGTAAAGTTGAAGCAATAGCTGAAGATTTGAATCTTTGTCGAGAAAAACTCTTACAGACAAGATAAACAAAACAGTTAAATAACACCCCATGGCAAAACAAATTCTCCTTAAGTTGTGAGTAAAATAGATTATTAGATTATAGATAGATTATTATATAGATTATAGATTATTTCTTGAAGAACAAAGCAATCATCTAACAGAAAACACAACAGTGTAAAACAAACAAGCAATGGATTTAATTGACTTATGGTTGCTTACATGCTCCTACCGATAGGACTCTCAAAGGGAAGGCAGCACTTCAAGATGCTGCAACTAAGTTTTGAATGTGTACTATCCAGGAACTTTCAGAAAATCACAAAGTTAGTGAGAAATTGTCAGATGTCACCAAAAAAATGGCAGTACCAGATGTTTTGCCCATAGTTCTACCTTGAGCTATCCTTACAATTCCAGTGGCAACCATTACAGCATTAGTAGTGTATCAAATAAACCCAAACACAATATAAAAGGCAACACATTTTTAAGATTAAATAAAATAAGCAATAAATAAACAATTATCATACAAAAGCATCTGATAAAAGAAAAAAAAATACATAAAAATAGATTCTTACACATAAAGATTATTTTAAAACAACACCCAACCACTATAAAAATGTATAAAAACCAAATTATAAATAAATCTATATAACAGTGTTAAATGAAATGGTTGCTGTAAAAAAAAAAATGAGTTTGTAATGTTTGGGTGTAAGAGTGTATTAAAACGTTGTGTGTGCACCTCTCAGCTTAGACTTTTTGTGAAAAGAGTGAGTATGGTGAACAACGAGAAAGAGTGCATGCTAAATAAAATCCAGGATCCTTGAATGTGATTCCTCATAATTATAGGTAAAATGTTCATCAGTTTAAGAAGTGAACTGAAATAAAGAGAAAGTATACAGTTAACTGGAGTATTTATTAATTTATATGTATAAACTGAGCTATCCTCTTAACATTGGTGGTCCTTAATGCTAGAGGATCAGGACAATTTCTGAAGTACGTGAAACTTTTATTAATTCTAATTCTTTTGTTTGAGTAAAATATTAAAGAACTGCAGAAAACAGGATCTTAGGCTTACAGTCACAGAGTTAGGAAAGACTGTATCAGATAAAGCAGCAAATGAATTAATCGAGTGAGTCAAAAAATAAAAAATATTATCAAACAGATATTGAACTTGTAATAGAATTAATAAATACAACAATCGAAGATCGTAAAAGTAAAGAGCAGAGTTTACTTAATTTACAGCAGATTAGAAGTAGAAACTAAAGTACAAAACCAAAATGAGATTGATCTAGAAATTCGTTATTCTTTAGATTCCTTAGTGAAAAGTTTAAGAACTTTACCTATAAATGTGCCAACTGGGCCAGGAGGCTGGACCTTCTTTTCTTAGTTAGAAAGGGCTTCAGTCTAAAAAAACTGTCCCTGATAAATATAAATTGGAGATTCTACTAAATTTATTAGGCAAAACGGCCTCTAACATAATCACTTACATTAAAGATGACAAGCTAAGTAATTATGAAAAAGTGAAATCTATTATATTAAGAGAATTTCAGCCCACCCTTCAATTTTACTTAGAACAATTTAGAAAGACAACACAATATCAAAACGAAATTTATGCACAATTTGCTTCACGTTTAATCACGAGTTGGAATTATAATTTAAATGTAAGAGAAGTGTCGGATTTTGAAGCACTAAATGATCTTATTGTATCAGATGAAATATTTTCTACTTTTGAAAAAGAATTATCATCACACATTAGTATTGGACAAGCAGAGAAATGGTTTTGCCCATCGAAGTTAACAAAAGATATAGATCTTTATTATACTTTGTGTGGAAAAGTTCTTAAAAAGAGTTCCAGTCCATATCGTAAAGGCTATCACGAGAAAACAGTGCCAAAAGTATTAACAGATGTTAAAAGCTCAAAATGTGTTATTTGCAATCAAAATCATGCTTTGTATCAGTACTCCAATTACAAGACGATATTTGTAAATGATACGGTAGAAATAGTTAAGAAACATAATTTATGTTTCAACTGCTTAGCATTAAATCATTTTGTTAAAAACTGCAAAATCATTTCATGTTCTAGATGTGGGAAAAGACATCACATGATACTCCATTTTCTGGTGGAAAATAAATTATCGAATGAGTGTGAAAAAATAATAAAAACGAAACAGCAGCGAGAGGTTTTAGTGTACTCCCCTCTAGCACCAGTTTTTCTGCCTAACAGAGGCAATGGTCTGTTTGCAGTGACAAGTGTAAGAAAATCGAGAAGTGTTCTTTTAAGAGCCGCAATCTGGTTTATTAATGATGGTATGAGTAAGTTACATCCAGTCAAAACATTGCTTGATGTAGGCAGCATTTCCTTTTTTATAAGCAGATATGATTCCTTGTTTAAAGTTTGAACAACAGTTTCGGCATGTGTTAGAAAGAAAGATAAAGGTTATATGAGAAGTTTAGACCTTTTAGTAACACCAAAAATCATGCAAGATTTGATTTCTTCAAGAAAAATTGGTATTAAAATGCATGATTTCTGTAATATAAAATTAACTGATGACAATTTTAATGTACCAGAATGTATAAAGTATGTTAGGAGCTGAGGTTTACTTGGAAATACTGAAACAGGAACAGATTCGTAATGAAATCTCAAGTCTTATTTTGCAAAACAGTGCATTTGGGTTTATTGTATCAGGAAGCATTATATCAGAAGATCAAAACCATGTACACTGTGGGTTAATCAAAACAATGGATAACTTCTTACAGACAATGAGAAAGTCTTGGGAGGCAGAAACTGTTAAAAAAAAGATGGTAAAAAATAGAAGAAACCATAATATATGAAGAGCAGTAAACTCATAAAAGGCATAAATTAGACAGATATGTTGTAACTATGCCTTTAGGGGAAGGTCCCTCTTGCCTAATAGATTCAAAGGACATTGGTTTCAGAAAATTAACAGCCTTGTGGAAAAGATACCCTTGATTATTTAAAATTATATAAAGAGTTTTTAGCAGAGCAAATGGGACACATCTGAAAGAAATCCCACTGAGCTTAGGGTGGTATTCAATGCTTCATAACCTACAACTAAAGGACACCCATTAAACTCACTACAGTATAACAGAGGTGTGATTCAAGATGATATTTTTGCTTTAATGATTAGGTTTATGAAACATCTCTTTGCATTTACTGCTGACATACAGAAAATGTTCCACGTGATCTGGTTAATTCCAGAACAGAGAAAATTTCAAAGAATACTTTGGAAAAAAGAAATTGATAAACCAGTAAAAGCATTTAAATTAGCAACTGTGACATAGGGAACCGTAAGCACTCCATACTTAGCAATGTGCACATTATGACAATTAGGCACACATGAGTCCAAGCAATTTTCATTAGCTCCTGCAATAATAATGTCAGATATCTACATGGATGAGATTTTATCAACAGCTGAGACATTAAAGAAATACAATATAAATTAATTGAAATTTTCAAAAAAAAAAAAAAAAAAAAAAGAAGGCATGGGCCTTCACTAGTAGTGTTGCAATAATACCCGCTGAAAAAACTAAACATTAGAAGTCTACTGGAATCCCAAGGAAGATAATTTTTCATTTAAGGTGAAACATGAGGATGCAATTCTGCACACAAAGGGAACTGTATTATCAAGGATAGCACATTTATTTCACACACTGGGATTGCTAGGTCCTATTATATCAAAAGCAAAAGTGTTGGCTACTGAAAAGCAAAATTATGCAAAAATGTTGGCTACTGAAAATAGATTGGAATGGCATTTTACCAGAAGAAACTCAAAAGGAGTGGCAAAGATTTATGAAGTCTTCATGTGCAATAAATAACTTAAAGATTGAAAGATACATTACAATAGAAGATGATGTAACAGTTGAGTTGCAATGGTTTGCTGACAGTTCTGAATTGCCTTATGGGGCAGTAATATATACTAAATCAGTCAATGTGAATGGAGAAATTAAGGATAATTGGGAGCAAATCCAGGGTTAAACCCATAAAGAAAGTCACTGTGCTGCATCCTGAGTTATATGCAGCAGTTCTTCTAGAGAAACTGATGAAAAGAGTGCAAGTAGTATTAAAATTGTACAAAACTTTTCTCTGTTATTGGATTGATTCAATGATTAAACACGGTTAATCAAGGTGGTTAAACAAGGATGTTCACCAATTAAAAATCTTTGTTGCTAACAGAGTAGCAACCATTCAAGGGATGTCAGATGTGCAGCAGTGGAGACATGTTCCATTGGAAAGTAATCCTGCAGATTTGATCTCACATGGAGCAGAACCTGACAAACTTGTTCACTGCAGTTTTTGTAGTTTCGCAGACCTGAGTTCCTTACTATTAAAAAATATCCCACCAAAGATATTCCGGATGCTGTGATCCAAAAAGACTCTTCTAGTGAACATAAAAAACTCAATAATGCTGACTCTTACTTTAAAACATTTAGTGTTATTAGTAATACAATCTTATCTGATTTTCTTCTTATAAGTAATAGTTATTCTAAACTTTAACAGAGTTTAAGCTTTATTTGCAGGTTTCCGAGAAATTGTCAAAAAACCGAAAGGCTAACAGAAGCCTTATCAACAGAAGAAATTGTAAAGTTGAGAAAATATCAATCAAATTAATGCAGAAGC